TTTTTTTTTTTTTTTTTTTTTTTTTTTTTTTTTCTGAATAGGGACTTGGAACGACGTTCCAGTTTAGGGCTGTTAAAAAAAGGACTTTTACCTTGTCCTAAAATCACTTCCATAAAACTGTTTACTTTGCTGAAGACTTGCTAAAAGAATTGGAATGTTATTGTCGTTGTTTCTTATTTTTTTTCAACGTTTTTTTTTTGCTGTTTGAAGAGAACATCTCGTTATCTTGTTCATCTATTTATTTATTTTTTTAAACCACAATTCGCGCAAAGCACATTTAAAACAGCTAAACATCTGCATAGGTTTTCTTTAAAAATATATATATATATATGTGAATAGAAGACTTTTGTTGTTGTTGTTGTGTCACTGTATAGAGAATAATTCAAAAAGTACAATATGTTTTTTGAGATTCTAAATTTTTGGTACTGTTAAGTTTGCTTTGATGACTAAATGGAAGGTTTGGCTCTCAAAAGCTAAAATTTAGATACCTCCAAAGTGTTTTTTGTTTATTGACGTCAGTAATACTTAGAAGTTTGTATTTTTTTGATTAATTAGATATTTTCTTCTTTTTTTTTTTTTTTTTGTTTCTGTGATGTTGGTAATCGTTTTGTTTGTTTCACTACTTTTTTTTGGTCTTTTCACTTATATTCGTGAGAAAAAAAAAATTTGTTTTTCTTTTTTTGGGTGTTTATTCAGCAGAATTGTAGATTACGGTGATAATGATGATGATGCTGACGGTGACGGCGGTGACGATGACGATGACGAAGTTGCTTGATGATGATGACGATATGTTTGTAGAAATTTTTTTTGTGTTCTTCTAACGATGTTTGTAAACAAAGCTAAATGTTGCCAGTATAACAGTGCAGAAGCTCTATAATAATGGATCAAAATTGCCACTAATCATTAGATAATCTGGTTTTTTATTGGTAGAATAATTAGTGAGAGGTAAAAGAAAACTAACTTCCTTACCGTTCAAAAATTTGACGGGATAGAAAGGTTCAAATGGAGCAAAAAATAAATGAGAGGGAAGCTGTTCAGCTGAGACGAAGTTTTAAGAGCAGTATTGGTATTGCAAGTTTTCACCTATTAATGAACTAAGAGTTTTTGTTAAGTGGCAGAAAAAAAGGGAAGGACCGAACAAGCTGCATATTTTTAAAAATAAGATTAATGAAGTATTCTTTTTTCTTGTTGCTGTTTATTATAAAGTTTACAGTTCTTTAGATAAAATGTTAAAAAAAAAAAAAAAGAATTCTCTGTTTAGAATGATTGGTACGTGTATTTCTACGCATCTGCCAACGTCACAATCTGTAGTTTATGACATCTTCAAGTATTATGGTTTTTTTGCTTGTTTTTCTTGATTTTTTCTGTACAAAATTAGTTTATTTTTTCTTTCTGTAAACTTTTGTTATTTGTAAAAATGACACTTGACGATAGATTAGATACAGTTGTTGTTTGTTTTCGCTGTTGCTGTTGTTGTTGTTGTTGTTGTTGTTGTTGTTGATTTTGCAGTTTTTGTTATTCTTGGCATATCTGTTAAGCTAAAAACAAAAAAAATAAAGAATTGAATCTAGGTTTTGGAATAATGGATAGAATTTGTAGAAGAAAGAAGAAAAAAATGCAAAAATAATTGAATATTTTTATTAGTTCTAAATTTTTTTTTCTTTGTATATTCCAATTAACCAAATATTAGGTTTAAAATACAATTTTTAGTAGGTTTCTAGCAATACTTGATGTTGTAAAAAAAAAAAAGAAAAAAGTCAGAAAAATAGAAGTGCCAATATATTTGGTTTCAGTGAACAGTTTGAATAAATAAAATGAATGCCAAATGATTTCGGTAGTTTTTTTTTTTTGTGTTATTTTTTTTAAGCTGAGAAAAGAGGCTTAAACTGTATGTAAAAATTGATTTGTCTACAAGAGAAAAGTAAAAATAAAATAGAAGAAGATTCTTTTTTTTTTTTTTGTTTATTGTTGGTCCCCGCAAAAATTATGGTTGAAAATAGTGACGTTTTTCATTGA